TGTCCATTTGTTTGCTGTTTGTTTTTCATTGTTGCCGATGTTATGTTTGCATTTCACGCCTTGTCTACAGAGAGAGAAAATGTGTAAAGCCTTGCTAAATATTTATGAGTAGCTTGCAATGCAAAGAATATTTTGTTAAACATGCAAAAGTAAATTTTATCTATATATCAGAGCTTTAAAAATGCTTTAATTTCATTACCAAACATTTGAATTATTTCATAATAAATCGAAGCTATTTCTAAATTTATTCCCAGTGTAAATTTGTGTGTGATTAATCCCCCAAACATAGAACCAATCAAACAGCAAAATAAAAAAAAGAAGAGAGAAATGATTCCCCACTATTATTGATGATGTGTTGATTAGGTTCTGACAAACCAATCGCGGTCATGTGAACAACAATCAAAGTACAAAATTTCACTTTGAACTCAAGCCGCAAAGGGGTGTGTGCCCCCCGCTGGGTTGTGGGGGGCGGCACCCCGAAATGCAACACCCGGGTGTGTGTGTGTATAGTATGTGCGGTCATAGGCGAAATTTGGGTCACGTTAGCTGGCTGGCTCACGTTGCCAAACTAAACACAAAAAACGATATAAAAGAAAACCCTAAACCAAAATCATGCAAAGCAGCGTGTGTCTAATGAATTGCCACCCAAATGTGGCTGTCCATAGGTGTACGAGTATGTGTGCCTGCAGTTGGTCTCTCTGGCCAGCGGAAAAGAGCTGGCCAAGATTTGTGGTCGGTCAAGAATAACGACGTCTGTCTGTCAATTGTTCAATATTTATGGAACATAAATCCAACCTGAAAGGGTCATTCACTAATTGGGATTTTTTCGTTTACGTTGGAAGCTAGGAGGTTTTTATGTGTGGTGGTATTTTTTTTTTAGCTGGAAAATGAGTCAGTTGGTGTTGGATTTCAAGGAAAATTTAGCTTTGGTCTTCAGGAAAAATCATTAACAGCTTCTGTCTGAGTTGAATTAATTTATGTTGGCTTAAAGAGAGAATAATGGTTTTTGGGAGGGGTTTTTCCTTGATTTTTCTTTCTAGATTAACTAACTATTGTTAGGCAATTAATTTGTTTAGGAAACGGGCTCCAACAATAATTATTTCAAGATATTTCCTTTTAAAATAAAATTACTAGGCTTTAGCTTTAATTGAAACCAAATTAATAGTTCACAACCTTCTACACATCAGTGAGTCCCATCCATGACCTTTCTGGTTCTTCCTCGGAATTCGCACATAATTGTTTTCCTCTCACAAATCAAATACAATTAAATACGAAAATTCCAATTTAAAGTGAACTTCCGTAAGGGGAGGGCTAAGATCTTTGCATTTATAATTTCATGGCAGAATTCCTCGATAAATTGATATATACTCGTATATGTATCTACGTTCAGTTCAGTTAACTTCATGGCCACTCACAGTCCCAGGCCACGCCCACTTTTGGCCCACCAAAAGCCGGCTAATGGCCTGGCCAATTGTCGCAAATTAGTGGAGGCCAGCCCAGCACGCACACCAAGACCAAGAGACCAAAACCAAGTCGAAGACCACGTCAAAGACGAAGACGAACAGCAGGTGAAGTAAAGTCGAGACAAGGCAAACACCTAAGGCCAATATCCACATGAGGGGAGAACCTACCTACCAGCAGGCTAACGGTACTGCGGTACTCTCTTGGCCAAGCAAGATGAAGATGGCCAAGAGGAGCGAAAGAACAGCTATAAAGAAGTTTACTGCTACAATTGGCAAATTGAAAATTGCTCGCTGGTGGCAGCAGCAGCAGCGATGGCGTTGGAGTCAGCGTTTTGACCGGGGCCAAGGCGGAAGCTTCTTTTGGCCAGACTTTTTCAGACTTTGAGGCCCAGAGCCGGGCCATGCGTTCGTCTGGCTGAGATAAGCTGACATCCACAACGTGCCACAGACGATGATGCATTTGCCAAGGTACTACTCGCAGCCCAAAGCCGCCGTTGCACCAGACAGAGACGTTTCAATTTCAAACGAGTATTTCTGGCTAAGCCGACTGAAGAAGTGGCTAATACCCTAGAGGGGAGATAAAGAAAGGCTGGGAAATACCCTTGAAGGTTAAAGGAAATGTAAAGGAAATATTCTAAGATATTATATTTAAAAATAGAAAGAGTTATGTTACCCTTGAGCCACTTTAAGTATTTTAAACTTAAATAAACTATTTCTTTCTCAGCTCAGCTTTATTTTAAACCTTTTAAATATATTTTCTGTAACATTTCATACCATTTTTCTTTCTTTCTGTCATTTTATCATACCCTTTCCTTAATCTCTCCAAACTCCAAGGTATTTCTCTCTCGAAAAAGCAACAAAACGGTTTTGGCCAGGTTCAATCTGGCAGGCAGGCAGACATTTTAATGAAGCCGCCGTCAGGCAGCATTTGAGCCACTCGTGGCTCTGGCTGTATCTGTCTGGCTTGTAACGGTGCCAAGTCCACGGGTATAAAGTCTATATGTCTATAAGTCTACGCACCGGGCAATGGGCACCAAAACGAATGACTTAAGCGACGAACTTGAGGAGCTTAGCCAATGCGTAAGACACGGCTCTAAGATTACCTAAGCTTTAACCACTCTAAAACTCTGGTATTTAGAGAGCCCACAAAGGGTAGCACTCTAAGAACACCCTCGTATATTAGTAATAATGTCACTTTAAAACTTTCGCTACCTGTCTTTCAAACTTGACCCAATTCTTTATGAATCTTATTTTTCTTTTTTTTTGAGGGGAAACACCTACACGGCGACTACCCAGGTTCTGCTCTATAATTAAAACCCAGCGAAACGAAACGAAACGAAATGTTAACTTCAGAGTCCACTTGATCTGGGGAATCCACGCACTTGATTGGCACTGGAAAGAGCCCGAGTTTAGGCGTTAATTGCGGGTTCTGGCAAATTACAGACTCTTTGGGTGAAATGCACTTTCTCTTTGTGGCTGAAAAGTGAGTGAGTTTCAGCCCAGATTGTAAGGGGATTTGGATATGGATTTGCTTTATATATGAGAAGGGGACTTGAGTTGAATCAGCGTGGGCGTAATGCCAAAAATCGCTGCCAGCTGCCGTTGCTTACCTTTTGTTTAGTCTTCTAATTGCTCCCGAAGATCGCCGATCACATTACTGCAAAGAAATAAATAGAGAGAAAAAAAAGGTAAAGAAACACATGAGTTGGCAAAAGAGAAATGCAAATTAGTTTATGAAAATAATGAAAATCCATACAAGTAGAAATAAACTCAAGCAGACAATGAACTCCAGAGCAGAGCTCTTCAAGTAAAGAGAGGCTTCACTTCGGGCTACAAATTGACATTGTTTCTGTATTTATTTTGGACATGTGTTACCGCCTTTGTTAGCCCATTTTTGGCAGTTCTGTAAGTGACTTTGATTTCAATTTGATTTATTGCCTGCAATTGTCGCAGATCTCTGCCTCCCCTGGAAAGTGAAAACTTTCGAAACTTTCAATTTGGTGACTTAATTTCTTGGCAGACTCAGAGCCACAGGGCTAATGAAATCGAACTGCCGCTTAACAATGGCAATAGCACTCTTATTGTCACTCTTGGCCAAAGCCGAAAAAAAGCTTTGCCCAAGCAATTATCAAGTGCACTTTTACTTTCATTGTCGTGGAAGTGCTAACAACTGAACAAATTTTCTCCCAGAGTGAGTGAGTAATGCTTATTTTCCTTTTAGCAATGGCTAATGAGCCGAAAATGCCATTCCAAAAGGGTCTCACAGACAGACAGAAATTACCAAACAATTTCAATGTCTCTGATTCGATTTGTATGGGAAAATATTTCACGAGAGAAAATGAAACGAAATGAAACTCTCACAGCGACTGCGGAGTTTATGTAAGAAAATTTATCACCCTGAAAAAAAGAGTAAAACAAATGCTTTGTCTTCAGGTGCTAAATGAAAACCATAAAAAAACCCTAAGATGGCTAAAAATAAATTCAAATTTAAAAGAAAAAAGTTAAATTAAATATTCTAAAGGTAAGCCAATACCTTAATTTATTCCCAAGCAAATCTCTCTATAAAACTAAATGATCATAAAATCAAGCCATAAATATTTATGCCATGTCAACGAAACTCTTTTGTAAAATATATTTCTTTTCAGGGGGTTTAAATGTATTTTTGTTGTGCAAACAAACCGTTCAAATGCCTTTTGTTGGTCCCCAAAACTACTTAGCATATTTACGAGCTTATGTGTAGAGAGAACTTTTATTACCAATTGGTTGGGAAACCTTTTTTAGAACCATAATTTATGTTGCAACGTTTTGTAGCCCCGGCTAATTGAAGTGAGAACTTTGGCATAAAACTCACTCATGTGCGGAATATTACTTGTAATGAAATGGTTTTCTTCTCTTGAGAATTCCCAGCACAAGGTATAGGTTCAAGTGTTCCCAGGGCATTGCATTGCCAGTTAGTTGTTGGCCAGTTTTTTTGGCCCCACTTAATGGCAGCCGCAACTGCAACGAGTTTGCATGCGGAGCATGAAATTATCTGCAGTTGATCTCCAAGTTGGGGGCAGCAGCTCTGGACCTGGACATGTTGGCTACTCGAATTAAGTTAACAAAAAAGTAAGCAAAGACTAAGCCAAACAAGAGCCAACAATGGGAGAGGCAAACAAACGTATCAATTAGCACAAGTCAAATGCCCGGACCCGAAACGTAAGACAAACATGTCCAAGAAATTAGATATTTGTCTAGAAATAATAAATGGTAGATAATAGAAGTTAATTAGTTGTGACTATTGAGCGTGGGTTTAATTATATTACAGATTTTTAACTATTTTAATTGATTATTAATTTATTTTATACAGAGAATGGCAGGAGGGGTCGATATACTCGTAATTGTATCGTTATTTGATGAGCAGAACAATACATAAATATAATATATATCTTAACTTATTTAACAATATTATTATTATTTTGAGAATATAAGAACCATACCTATTAAATTTTATAATAATTTCTTTAAAACCACAAATCTTAGGCGGCCGGTAGTCACTCTAAATACAAATTTCACGCAATCAAAAAATCACAAAAACTATATATCTTTAAATCAGATTCGGTCATACTTTCCTAACATTCACACACATTTATTTTTGATAATTTTACCAACTTGCCTGCAATTTATACGCTAAACTCCTACCACAATGGGCAAGAAATTGAAATTACCGAAGCAGGCAAAGGTCAAGTCCTTCTTTCGCAGCGAGGACATGGAACTGTGCCAGCTGCTCCTGCACGTGGACAATGCCTTCGACTGCCTAATGGAGCTGGGTCACCATGGCATGGTGCAGTTCAACAATATTTACGACGAGGACCGGCTGCTAAACAATCTCTACACGAAGAAGGTAGTCCAGTGCCATGAGTATCTGCGTCTGGTGGATAGCCTGCACCAGCAGATCATCCAGCTAAATGTTAATGAAATCTTCTATCCGAATGTGGATCGTGAGGATCGGATGCGGGAGCGGGATCTGCGTAAGTACGAGGACAGTTTGCGGCGCCTCCACTTGGAGGCCTCCACAGTGATGGAGCACTATCAGCGGATGGACACACGGCGGTATCGGATGATGGAGCAATGCTTTGCCATCACCAAGGCAAACAAGTTCATGACCGCGGACAGGGGCAGCGAGCTGCTGTACTCGGAGAGCACCATTGGGGGCCTGGTGCAGGATGCTTCAGTGGGGAACAACCATGTCCAGTATGGCTCTCAGCTCAGTTACTTGTTGGGAACCATACGGGCGGAAAAGTTCCATAGCTTTGAGCTGCTCGTTTACCGGATGTGCTCCTTCAATGTGGTCATGCGGTTTGCCGAAATGCCCAAACCCATCATGGTGTATACTTCGAGGGAGCCGGAAAAGGTGCGCATGTTTACAGTTCTGATGATGTCCAGCTCCTCGACGATTTGGCACAAGGTCCTCAAGATCTGTGCCCAATATCAAGTGCATATACACGATTGTCCCTCATCCGCCAATCAGCGTACGGCTCGGATCAAGGAGCTGACCCAGGAGATCAGGAACATCGAGAGAGTGCTCAAGGAGGCGGAGTTGATGCGCCGGCAGGTCCTCGAGATTGCCGCCCGGGATCTCTTCATAGTCCGCGTCAATCTGCGCAAGGCCCTGCGAGTCTATGACCTGATGAACCGCCTCCGTTTGGTGGGTGGCGTCTACGAGGCCAAGTATCTGCTGGCCGAGGTCTACCTGCCAGTCTCAGAGTTGGCCAACGTGCGGGATACCCTCGTGAATGCGAACAGATTGAGTGGAGGGGCAGACCGGAAAATATCAATCACAGATGATAAGGAAGAAGTTAATGGTAATGCCCCGCCTTTGGATGAATCTGCTCCAGCAGAAAATAAGCAAGCCAACAATAATGCCCCGCCACCTTTGAATGAAACCGCTTCAGGAGATAGAAACTCCCAGAGGGTAGATCCAATGGAAACCTTAAATTTTACCACTCGCCCCATTATGATGAAGAAGACACGCACGGTGAACCACATGCCGCCCACGTTCTTTCGGCTCAACAAGTTTACCAGGGGCTTTCAGGCCCTGATCGATGCCTATGGCAATGCGGACTACCAGGAGCTGAATCCTGCTCCATACACCATCATCACGTTTCCCTTTCTGTTTGCCGTTATGTTCGGGGACATGGGGCACGGCATCCTGTTGATTTTGTTTGCCTTGCTGATGATTTGGAGGGCCAAGCAAATCGAAATCGAGCAGGTTTGTTATCGATTTTTAATTAACTCAAAAGCTTATTTGCAAGTTTTTGATTGTAGTTTAAGTTTTTGATATTAGTTGAATATTAGTTTATTTAGGGAATACTTCAGTACCAAAATTCGATACTGGTTCAACTTACAATACATTCCGATATCCCCATTGCAAAGCCATCGATAAATTTCGATAAATAATAGAATCCCTGATTCTTCCCTAGGTAAGTGCCGTGTCAGAAAATGAAATAATGAACATTCTATTCGCCGGCCGCTACATCATCCTGCTAATGGGCATCTTCTCCGTCTACATGGGCTTCATCTACAACATTGTACTGTCCAAGAGCATGAACCTGTTCGGCTCCAGCTGGAGCTGTCGCTACAATGCCACCACCGTGAGCGAAAGCATTGTCGAGCTGTCCTTCGATCCATCGAGCAAAAATTTCTACACGGGCAACCCGTATCCCATTGGCATGGATCCCGTGTGGGTGGTATGCGGCCAGGTCTCTATTACCACCACCAACTCGCTGAAAATGAAGATGGCCATCATCCTGGGCGTTAGCCAGATGATGTTCGGCCTGTGCCTGTCCGCCGCCAATTGTGTGCTGCTCAAGAAGTATGCAGACCTGCTGCTGGTGGTGGTGCCCCAGATGATCTTCCTGGTGTGCCTGTTCTGCTACCTTTGCTTCCTCATCTTCTTTAAGTGGTTGACCTACGGCGGACTTAAGGAGCATCCATATACCTCATCCTGTGCTCCCTCCGTCCTCATAACTTTCATCAACATGATGCTGATGAAGAAGGAGTCGCCAAATGGAGATTGTCCCGATGGTATGTTTCCCGGCGAGCGGACGGTGGAGTACGTCCTGGTCATACTGGCCTTGCTTGCTGTACCCGTCCTGCTGGCGGGAAAGCCGCTATATATTATGCGCAAGAGGAAGAAGGCAAAGGTCGAGGAGGAGAAGATACTGGCCGAGGAGCGGAGGGGAAAGGCTACAAGGCAGCCGGTCAAGGTGATGCGCTCCGAGATCAGGTACTACTTCGATGAGACCGTTAGCACGGAGGTTTTCAAAGATCGTTCCTATGACCAAGAGGATGAGCTGGAAATGTCTGAGATCTGGATACATTCATGCATTCATACCATTGAAACGGTTCTGGGTTCCATTTCCCACACGGCATCCTATTTGCGTCTTTGGGCTCTTTCTTTGGCCCACGATCAGCTTTCCGAAGTCCTGTGGCACATGATTCTGTCGAAGGGATTGGCCAACAATATGCCCCTCTACTATGGCGTACCCATCCTCATGGCCACCTTCTTCTTTTGGGCCACACTCACGGTGGCCATCCTGCTGATGATGGAGGGACTGAGCGCCTTTCTGCACACCCTGCGCCTCCACTGGGTGGAGTTTCAGTCCAAGTTCTTTAACGGCTCCGGCGAGATCTTCAGGCCGTTCAGCTTTCCGCCCTCCAATCACAGGAGTTGACTTTATATATGTTTCCTTTTTTGTGAATAGTTTCTTTAGCATAATAATTTTAATAAATAAAAAATGTAATCAGCCAAGGGTTTAATTTTTGTAACAAGAGGTTTGTGAGATTTTTATGGTAAAGTTTTAAAGTTCATTTCTTCTTAACTCTTTTCCGGGTTTAAAAGTATATATATTTTAGATGGACCTTCGCTGCTGGCTCTCCCCTATCTTTTGGCAATTAACTTTGGCCAAGAGCTACCCACGCCCGCTGCTGCTGCTGCTTGGACATTCCTTTGCAATTGGCATTGGGTCTCGGGCTCCATGCAAAAGGCCATAAACCAAAGCTGGCTTTAAACAATTTCCATTTGTTTGCTTTATGCCATTGCCAGCTGCTGTTGCTGTAACTGCTGCTGCTGTTGCAGTTGCTGCTGCTGCTGCTGCTGCTGCTGCGACTGTTCCTTCCTTCGATGCGGGCGCTGGAAGTCGTCGACCCTTTGGTTACTTTGGCTCTTTGTTGGATTGCTCTTGGGCCAGTATCGCTGCCAGTTGCTGCTGTTGCTGCTGTTCTATTCTTGTTCGGCTTGTAATACCCTGTTTTTTAGCTTAGTAGAAGGGTATGTTGTTAGGCTTAAAGGCTTTGAAATTATAGGAAATAGATTAGACTCTACATTTTGACTAAATACAAATTTTTTAACATTTTTAAATTTTCAAAAAATTCAAAGAGTCTTGCTATAATGTTCCAATTTTCATACTTTCCATGTCTTATTTTGGGTATTTCTTGTTCGAAGTAAACCCTAAATTCTTGCCTGTTTTCCACACACACACACTCAAAGCTGAGACCGTGTTGTTGCCGCTCTGTTTGCCATTAACACCCACGCCAGCAAGTTTGGTTGCTGTTTCTGGTTGCTGGTTGCCTACAGAGCCCAAGAGAGACCTGGGGGACGGGACCTGGCATAAATTATGAACAGCAACCGATGACGCATGCAGGCCGGCCTAAGTAGACTGGCTCGTGCATAAATAACTTTCGTTAGCCACATGGCCCGCGACTTTATTAGATCGCCAGAGAGCGAAATACAAAAGGCTGGCTGAAAGAACCCAGCGCAATGCCAGTTGGCAGTAATGTGCAGTAAGTTTCATGACCAGAGCAGGTTTTCTACGCAATTGCTGCTGCTGGCCCAAAACAGGCTTTGCTCTTTGGCTTTGGCTTTGGCTATAACTTTAAACCGCAGCACGCGCCATTGTTTAGGTGGTGCAGCAGCCACCAGGCAGCAAGCAGCAAGCAGCTAGCCAACTTGGGTCAAGTTTGTTGCCTAAGTCTTTTGTTTATACTTTCGTTGCTGTGACTCTGTGCGTGGCTCTAATGCTGGTCTTAAGGCCCAATCCCAAACCCAATCGCCATCCCAATGGTCAACTGCTTAGCACTTTTATGGCCAACAATTGTCAAGTCTCTAAGGGGCCACTGCCAAAGCGGATAGCATCCATTGTGGCTTAGAACTAGTGCAGGGAGAGAAATTCAGAGAGGTTTTGAAGGGATACAGGAGAGGCTTAAGGGATTGTAATTTAAAGAAATATCTAAACTTTTATTATTAAAAATATAAATAAATATTTTAAGGGTATTAAATACTTAGCAGATTAGTTTTGCTTCTGAAAACATAAATCTGTCCTCTTGATTTGACGTAATTAAAAGGTAAATATAAAGAAGATATATTTTAACTTAACAATTTTTATATACCCTATGTTTTTTCATTAAAAAGTATCATAATTACTCATCATTATTATTTATTAAAAATATATTCCTTTAATATTATTTCTCTCCGTGCTTTTTAAGAAAAAAAAGCAAGGTCGCATTGTTGTCTGGGGAGAATCAATTTGAGCCTTAAATGCGAATGGCTGTCCGGCTGTCCCCATGTCCACTTTTTCTGCTCGTCAGTCAGTCGCATCACGTCACGTCACGATCCTCGAGTCGCGGACTCATGCTCTTGGTTCGTCAGTTTTTCTTTTTGTTTTTTGAGTGCATTGCCGCTGCTGTCCTTTAAAGGGCTCGTTCTCAGTCTGTGGATGTTGCATGTTGTCATTGTTGCGACGGCAGCTGCAACAGCAACGGCCATTGTTGGCACTGCGACTGTGTCTAGTTCTGCTTTTGGGCCTTTACATGCCCCGGCCATAACAAAAAAGGTGTTAAATTCAGCCCAGGCTTGTTGCAGCAGGCCAAAAGCCACAGAAAGCCAAAGAGCCACAGCGAACCAAAAAGAGTCAACGAACGGCAAGGAATTCGCTGTGCTCGGCAGAAGGACATTTCCAGCAGCACCAAACTGGGAGGCTGAAGCACCTCAAGTGCTGCCACTGTCCACTTGGATGAAAACATTCAAATGAAGTCAGCAAGAGCGAAATGATGAGACAAGTCTTCACCGCAAAAACAGTCGAAAACAATAATATTTTATGCAGAGAAAACAATTAAGAGCCAGTTTAAACATTAAGATAAATTGAAATTGCTTAAAGGAGATTTTTAAAATATTTTCTAAGGCACTTAAAATAATATTAAATCTAATAAAAAAATACTATAAATATTTTATATATTATTTTTCATTTACTACCGCCTAAAGATGATCTCAATTTCATTTTTCCGTGCCTCCTTAACTGTAAACATCTGTGAACTATTATGGCCATTAATTAACTGGCCACACAATTTGTTGGCTTTGCACATTTCGGCACAAAGTCAGAGAGTTTTGGGGCTGTCAAGTGGAAAAATGCCATTTAATTCGCCACAAATTGTGCATTGTTTTTGGCTTTAATTAAAATTGCCTTTTGTTCATCTTCCAGCTCCATCTTCTTGTGCTATTATTTCTATATGTTTTTTTGTGATTTTTTTTCTTAAGCAGAACGGAAGCTGACGACAATTGACCATTAAAAAAGATCTGCTAATGCAAAAGGGGAAAACTTTCACTCAGCGGACGAAATGTTTTAATTAAAATTGGCAAAGAAAAAAGACAAAAAAAAAGCAAATGGAGTCAGAAAAGAAATTAATTTAAACTAGATATTGTGTTTTGTGTAACCGGTCTTGGGGAAGTGGGATTTGCAGTAGGAAAAGTGAAATTTCTCAGGCGCGTTTTGTTATTTTTTCGAGAACCCAACATATATATTTTTTTTTGCATTTAGCAGTTCATTAGCAGCCCGAACTAGCCACCAAAAATATGCATAAAATTAATCAGATGGTACCAAATACAGGCCACAAAGGCGGAAAGTGAAAGACGAGAAACACACGTGAGCTGCCCATAAAATATTAGCAGAAATTTCCAAAAACATAAACAAGACAATATGGTATTGAAGAAATTTTGAAGTAAAGTTTAGGTAAAAATTAAAGAAAATAAAAATGGAATAGTATATACAAAATATGGAAAATTACGTAACAAATTTAAAAACATAAATACTTAAGTGGAGAATATGTTCCGCATTTCACACGCCTAACATTTTCCTTTGGAAAATATTAATTGAGTTAAATGTCTCTTGGCTTTTGTGACACCGCTGAGATAACAATCTAGAAATTAGTTAAACTAAAAACATGATAAAGCTCTGAGGAAAATACAAAACTCTACGAGCCTCATTAAAACTGAGTTTCATGTATTTATTCTTTTGATCTTACAGCGGCAGCGGTGACCACACAGAGACTGCGGAGAGAACCTTTTTGATTATTTTCTCAGGCAGTTTCTCTCTTTTTCTCCTTTGTCTTTGGTCGGTGACATGCATAATTAGAGAACGTGATATACGGCGATATATATACTATATAGCATATATAACAAACTAGGGATGTATATCGAGGAGGAAAATTGACAATGTTATATCGTTTTTCAGTATTGAAATAATATCGAAGTGTGCATGTAGCTTCGATTAAAAAATATTTATAAAATCGAAAATCGATTTAATATCGAAAACATATTAAATGTTAAGTATATTGTGATTCTATTGTATATATTAAGTATAATAAAATTAACCAAAGGCTCTTCCATAATTACATAGTTATCAAACAAATGTTTACAAAATTTGTAAATTGATAATGTTACAAAATTGATAATACTTCTAAAATATAAATAAATCGATTTGGTTATATAGTCATAATATGTTAATCTAAATACAAAACACTCTTATAGTTAATTACAATAATTAATCAAAGTTCTTATAACTCCACAAAAAAAATCTCAAGTTATCGAAATTTTAAAAAAATAATATCGACAATATATCGGTTTCTTATGCCATCCCTAAGCCCTGCCAAATATATGCCAAATTGCTTTTTTCTTTTATTTTCTTACCGAATATATGTCAATTACAGCACGATCTTTTGGCAAATTCGCCGTCGCCTGACACATTTCCAGTTGTTGGCCAGAAGTCAGAGTCAGAAGTCTGGAGATACCGATATTTATGTCACCGGCGACAATAAATTTGTCAGCTTTTTGTTAACCGTTAAGTAAACGCAATGCATGATTTGTGTTTTGTAATGAGGGCGAGTGAGTGAGCGAGATCGAGATCGAAAATGAAGACAGACAGTCGAAACGAGTTTGAGTTCAGTTCATAAAATATTCATGATATGCCAAATGTTTTGTTTTATTTGGCTCTTTCATTGTTTTGCAATCTTTTTTTCCTTTCTTCGCCTTTTTTTTTGGCAAGTCAAATTGCTGAAGATTGAGTCATGGAATTTTTGTATTTATTTGTATTTTTTGTGGGGACATAAATATTTATTAGGCAGGGAATAATTTGTTATTGATTTTTGTAGGGTGATAAGACGGATATCCAGGCTAAAAAAATGATTTAAAATACTTTTAAGGCCTTATTTTCTGAATTTAAATAAATAAATGAAGGAAACTATGTTTAAAGTAATTTTTAAAATATTTTAAAATTTAAAATTTCTAGTTTTAAATTTCTAAAGCTGCCTTAGAGGACTATAAAAGCTTAAGGTAATTTTTAAAATATTTTAAATATAAAAATAGCCACTTTAATTATTTCTAAAGCTCCCTAAGCGGATTTTATGAAGTTGCCTCCATTGATTTAATACCTCCATTGCCTCATTTTGCTTGGCTTTTATTTATTGATGAAAACAAACAAATTGAAGTGTAAACTACAAAGGCGACATTGACCACTCGAGTGCTTAAATTCGATGGCACTCGACACATTGTTTCGATTGCCTTTCCGACGAGGGGCCACAGGCGGCGATGCAGGCGGCAATACCCAGCAATAATCACAACAATGGGAGCAACACCAATTTTGTGACCTTCAGTGGGCCACTTGAGGCACAGCTTCTGCATCAACAATTCCGGCGATTCGAACACGAAGTTCGTTGGCTGTCAGCCATTTGAGTGACTGACATGCAACACCAGCAATAGCAGCAGCAGCAGCAGCAACAATAGCGTGCCACATAGACAGCCAAAAAAAAAAAAAAACACCAATTGGTGTCAAAGCAACAAAATGCTACCGAATTTCAACTGCCACTGCCAGAGAGCTAAGGGAATTTCACGCCGAAATTAGCAATAAATCAAAGATTGCAATTCGGGAGCAAAGCGTCAGGCTAATTTCACTAAAGAGAAGCAGGTTTAATACTAACTATAAGATAATTGGTTTATATTAAATAATATTTACTGATTTTGAATAACAATTTAAAACTCAAATTAATATCAGGCCCTAGAGACTGCTAACTAGAGACTTTCCCAGCTTAAATCCTTTACAAAACTAACCCAAAACTCTTTGCAAATTGCAAGATATTAAGCTGATATGGCCTCCCATATTTCTCAAAGTGGAATAGAGCACTTTGCAACCGTTTTGGGCTGCCGAAAAAATACAACAAAAAAATGCGAAAAGCACTTGGGTCGACTCTTGGAGCGGTGTCTTCGAGCTCGCTGGAAGCTGCCCACGCCTTGATATGGCCACTTGAGAGAGCGAATAGCAGCGAACAACGGCAACAGCAGCCCGCCAGTCACATAAATAAGTCACCATCAGAGTCAGATTCAGATTTAGATTGAGAATGAGCGACACAGACGCCGCCGAGCGCACACACTTGGCCATAAATCTTTGCCGAAGCGTGGGCAGGTCCCCCAAGTAACCCCTTCTCTCCCTGTCAGCGCCCAAAATGGGGCCACGCCCCGCTAAGCTATATATATAGATTCCTTTTCCATCTGGAAGCTCTTCAAGTGCGTCTTAAACACTCTGTCAGAGCCATAATCAAGCTAATGCCATCTTATGACTCAACCCGAAAGCATCTTCGGGGCAGTAAAAAGAAAAGTGACTAGCGCCTGTGGCTATATTGGCCGATAATCTGTTTATGGTCAACAGAACTAGGCCTCATTACCATATGGGCGACATAAATGTGCCAGAAAGTTGCCGTTAAACCAATGCACTTAGCACGTTTATAGCGACTACCAATAAATACTGGTAGAAGTGTGAAAGAGAGAAGGCCTGGACTTCGACTTCGACTTCTTCTTCTCAATTGACACATTTGGCACACAGAGTGGCTTTGCTCGCTTTCTGGCTTTTAATTTGCATTTATTTTTAATAAATCGCTGGGAAAATGTTAGTTTGGGGCTCAAAGTTGTGCCAAAAAATTGGGAAAATGAGAGCAGACATTTGAACATATTTAGCTTGGAATTAGTTTTTGATTTTGGGGTATTTAAAAAGTCTTTAAACAAATTATTTAATAAAGTTTGCTTGGTTGAAAACTAATTTTAGATAGTTTTAATAGTATAATATATATATTTGAAATTAAAAATGTATTTATTTAATGTTATTTAATGAGATTTTAAAGCAAAATGTTTAATATTTCATACCCTATTAAACATTTTAATTTTTTGACAATAAAAATATACTATAAAAAGCTTAAAAAAATTCTTTAGATTTAGTATCCCCCAATAGTTTTACAAATTCTCTTAAAATCCTTAATGCTTTAAATATAATTTCTAAATAAATGCTTTCTTAAAATATTCCCAACTTCCTAATCCCCAACTTACCCAAACAATCACGTTGAGCTCTCTGTGGCAAAAATTCAGTAGCGTTTTCTGAAATAAGCAAGAAAATTAAAACAAATATTAGTAATTTTTAAACGCATTAAATCAAAATTCTAACAAAATACTTCAACTTTAATGGGGGCATAAATCATTTTGCTCTAGGTGGTACAAACATAAATTGATTTACACACCAAAGTCACGTCTCCGGATTTGACTTAAATTATCACTTGAATCTGATGTACGAGTTGTTTGGACAATTTCCATGACAAATTCGAGCCACAGAACGTGTGTGCATACGTTGGCAACAAAAGCGCCTATAGTACGTACTTCTAGTTTACTCCGGCTGGCTTGTTAACTCATCCAAAAACTAAACCACATTCTTGAGAGCATTAGAAAAAAAAAGCCAAGCGATGTTGTAGAAAAATAAAACAAGAACAGCAGCAAAAAAAATAAAGATATAGCCATGAATAGTTGGAGCACAGAAAAACATGTTCAGCGCGTGTTTGCAGCAAGCAGCAGCGGCAGCAACATCAACTTAAATAGCAACAACAGAGCAGCACAACACAGCAACAAATACAGTGGAGGATGAGAAAATAGCAACACAGAATATATAAAAATTAAATTTAATGAAATATATGAATAAATCAAAACAAAAACAAAATATGGTAAAAGAAAACTAGGAAGGCAAAGCTATCAATGATTTTTTAGTAACTATTTTTAAAAACTTTTTGACACTTTAAGCAGCTAGAACACGTTGGGAATTATAAAGCATGGGTAATATTTTAATTGAGATTAGTTTAATATGATATTACAGATGTCATAATTGATTGAATTTAATATACATTTTAATAAAGAAAAATCCTTTAAACATTTCTATCTTCTCCTCAGATTTCTAAGAACTTTAAAAATTATATTTCCAAATCCCCACTCCTATCATCTCAACCCCCCCTGTATTGCCTTAGATGGGGGGCGGTTTTTTGGGCGTTGGGCGTGGCCCCCTTGTGCAAAATGCAAAACAACATTGAAGACGAGAAAATCTGGCTACTGTAATTTGTCTGCCCACCAAAGACACCGTGGCCCCCAGTGCTCGCACTCGTACTCGTGCTAGCCCCTAAACTTGGCTGCAATATGTCCGTTGTTGATCGCGTTTGGCCAGTTGGTTGTTAGTGTTGTTGTTGCTGTTGCCTCGACTTGGCCCGGGCCTGGGCCAGTTTGCAATTGCTGCTCCACTTTTGAGTGTGTTTTCCGAGCGGACCCCCTACGCCCCCTTCCAGTCAGTGGTATTTGCTTCCTAAAGTTTGCCGGCGTCGTCGTCGTTGGCCGCCTTTTGTCGCTGAGGTCAATTTTTATGTTGCAGCCATTTTTCAGAGAGAGAAAGAAAGAAAATTTAGGTTTGGGGACACTCAAAAAAAATGGGGAATAAATTATAGAATGTAGGATAGAATTAAGTCATTTAAAAGTCTGTGTTTATTTATAATTTGTTTACAAAACTATACAGAAATTAATTATGGCAATTATTTGCCATTTGCTAAATCACTTGATTATTAAACTGCATAACCAAATGGAAAATATCTGGGTTTATAATCGATTTCCTATTTACGTTTGTGTAATATACTTTTAATGGTCAACCCAAAACTAATATATGTATATTTTTTAAAAAGCTTATGTCATTTTCAAATCTCTCGTCATGTTAAACGTATCATCTGCCCTGTTTTGGCTTTGTCTGCTAATTTTTATAAGCGATTTTGTAAGTTTCTAGTCTGAATTGTTTAAAATTTAATTATTATTTAAATAATTTTCAAAGAGCCATTCAACATTTGAGTTTACAAACATCAAGTGCAACTCCTTGGACACATCATTTGCAACCTTTGAATATTGCCTGTTGAAGTCGGTGAATCGAACCTACAAATATGGATCATTGAAAGTGAAATTGCTTAAGGTGCCAGTGGATAAAGTAAAGGTTTGATTAAGGAATTCCAATAATAACAATTTAAAATTAATTTTTAAATTATAAACAGCTGAATTTGGCTCTTTACAAGCGCTTGAATGGCTATAAGCCTTTTCTTTACAATGTCACCTTTGATGTCTGCAAATTTATACAAAATCGTAACTCTAATCGAGTTGCCGCCTTTATTTTCAATCTATTTCAACCGTATTCCAATATCAATCATTCGTGTCCCTGTAATGTAAGTTTATTGAATCAATTTAATTATAAAAACTTATGATTTTAAATGGTTTTCAGCACGATGTAGTGGTGGACAAGGTCCCAACTTCGCACATGAACGAGCAACTCACAAAAATCTTGCCCTTTCCACCAGGAGATTATGGTTTCTATAGTATTTGGTTTGGCAATGGCAAACCAAGGGCCACTGTAAATGTTTATGGGACTTTGTCTTGAAAATAAAATATTTAAAATATTTATATGTTTATATGAAATCGATATTTATTTATTTATTTCAAATAAAGTATAAATCAATATGTAATTCTATGGCTTTTTCTTTGAATTTATTGCTTGGTTATAATAAATAAAAAATTGGACAAGGGTACACAAACTTCGGCCTTCCAAATTTAGCTATCTTTTTTATTAAAAATATAATAAATTGTTTATTTATTGGTTTTGCCTTTTCATATATGAATTTTCTTAAATTTAAATTATATTTATTTTTATTTATGTACATTTTTCAACAAACATTCTCTCAGTGCATCTTCTTCCTCTTGTTTGCCTTGTGTAAATATAAATTTTTAATATCTTACGGCCTTTTTATACCCCTTTTTACGCCCTTTGCGGAATCCGTATTTGCTGTATAGTTTATGAGCTGCTTTTTTATGTGACCTATATTTTTATGGGATAACTCTAGCCCGTGGATGAATTTTATTTATCACTTTTAGAACCAGTAAAGGATTTTATTTCATATTCTCAGTCCTGCCAACTAATATTTCCAGGGTATTATCCAGCTCTACTCTATTGAAGTCAAGTCCTATTTTTTCGAGTGCTGTAAATTTTTCATGTTGTCTGCGGCACTTAAAGTTACGTACGAGTGTATTCCAGGTCTAACGTTGGCTATTTTATATTTTGTATTTATTTTTCTGTTGCTGCCGAGAAACTTTTTCCACTTGACACTTGAACTAGGAGAGAGAGAGAGAACTCCACAGCCTGACACTTTCAGTTGGTAATTAGTTTTGCGGCCAAGCATGTTAAATGCAGTTTCGGACATAAAACCAAAGCCCTAAATTTGATTTATTTCGCTTGTAAATCAGAAAATCAAAAAATATATAAACTTTTAATGATCCCAAAAGTCTTTAGCTTAAAGCCTTTGTTTACTGGCAACCTTGAACCGCCTCACTCACTCGCTGCTACCGATGATTGGCGCAGACTTTCGAGTGTCTGTCAATCAACTTGAATCAGAATTAAATCATTGACAAATAACAATAATCAGTAACAAGGCTATGTTGCATGTTGGCATGCAATGGAAAGTGAAAATTCTTGGGGGGAAATGGTGAAAAGTTTTCTGCCCAAACAAATATGAAGAGGAACAGCGCGCCCTTTCTCCTTTTGTTGATGGCAAAAACTGTGCCGTCGTCATGTGCCACATTTGCACATTTTCAGGCTGCAGTTTTGCTGGCGGAAAGTAAAAATAAAACCCAGAAAAGACTAAACTAAAGCCTCGACAGCATTGCCAGTGAACTGAAACTGAAACTGAAACAGCAACTGAGCATGCAGCATAAATATGTGAATAATGCATAAACAACTAGAACACACCACCGTGTTGCATGTTCGCAAAACAACTGAAAACCTCGCAGTAATTCTACGAAAAATTTGGCACAAAAATAAATATGTATATGAGGGGGAGGGATAAAGAGGGGAGAAGTTTATGCACAGGTAATTAGACTGCATTTTTCTTTTATTTTTTATTTTGTTCTCTCCCTCGAAAATAAACAGAAAGCAAACGCATCCAGAGTTTCGGTAGTTCTTTAATTAAATTCTTTTCTATACAATCAGAGGAGTTTCTTTTGGCCGGCAAACAATTTTCAAATGCTCTTTGTGCCTCAAGTTTCAATTCATAAAGCAAAGTTGGGGAAACTTCTTCAAAAGAAAAATCTAGGGAAATCAAAATGAAGGACAAATGAGCTTGGAAAGGGAGGGAAATATGGGAATCATCTGTAGCTAAGAAGGTTTTCTATTTTAAAACTAGGTTTTTCTTTATTGAAAATATTTCTTATAAATAATTTTGTAGATTTTTTTTATCAAATAAAATAAGTTAAGTATTTCCTAATCTAAACTAACAAAAATAAACCAACTTCAAGCTGAAAGTAACTACTTTACCAGGCTTTATCCATCTCAAAACTCTAAAAGTATCTCTTGGACAAATCATCAAGGAAAAAGCAGGAAGTAAAGGGGCCACAAATATCGAAAAAACAGCAAAAAGAGTAGAATTTTCACAGTTGCCACAAAAGTTCATCAAAAACAGCAAAACGGCAGTTGCAGTTTGCAGCTTGCGACCCAGAGCCACCCATCCACCCACCACTCGGCTCTTTTGGCGGTTAAATAGGCCAACTCACAAGCCAAGCGGGAAATGTGGCCAGAATGGTGCCCAGGGGGCTCTCTCGGCTAACAATGCATATGACAAACTTTTGTCAATTTATTAAGAAGCGAAGAAATATGGTTTCTCCCTCCGAGAGCCAAGAGCTAACCTGATTCCCAGGAGAATCACGAACCACGAGTATGTGAGTGAGTGAGTGAGTGTGTGCAGTGGCAACGTGGTCAGCCGGAGGAGGAAGAGCTTCCTGCTGGAAACCGCAGCTACAGCCTCCTCGTGGTAACTCCCCAGCTCCCTCATGTAACCACCAGCGATACTCATCGTCATCATCATCCTCATCGGCAGCAGCAGCAGCAGCAGCAACATCAGTTGCAGTTGCAGCCAAGACGCAGTTCAAACAACTTTCGTTCGCATAAATTGATGATAACAAAGGCCGGGAATCAGAGTTTGCTGCCAAAACGGGTTGCATTAAACGATTAATGCACAGAAAAGAAATTTTAAAAAATATGTTAGGGTTTAATTAGGGATTTTAGAATATTTTAGAAATGTTTTATCAACCAAAAATATTTTATAAACATTTTTAAATATTTCTTTTGCTAGGAAAAAATGTTTAAAAAAATATATAAAAGTTTGATTATAAACTTTAGAATATTTAAGAGATTTTTTTATCAACCGAACAAACTTTATAATAATTTTCAAATATTTTTTCCTGTTGGAAAGCATTAAATTGTTAATTTTTATTTAGAATTTCATCAGGAAAATAACTTGAATTAATTAAATAAATTTAAGCTATCAGTAATACAAATTTTTCTAATAAAATTTAATGTTTTTTCGTATTTTTTACATTTTTAAAAGCAAAACTAATAGGTCAAATAATATTTCTTGAACTGGAAAACCTTATTAAGTTTATTTTTAAGCGAGCAAAAATATCTTCTTAATTATCTATTAATTAAAAACCTTTTCCTTGATGATTTTTAAACTAAACTTTAATTTTTCTTAGCTTAAAACTTCATAAATTTCTTTTGTTTAGCTTGAAACTTCAAATTTTTCTTCCCCAATTTCTTACACAAATTTTCCCTCAGTGCCCTCAGTGACTGCGGCAGTTATGAATTATGTCAAATGGCATAATTGCCAGTCCAGAGCCACAGCTTGAGCTTCAGCAGCTGCTGTTTTCCTCGTCGGCGGTTTTCAGTTTTCAGTTTTTGGCTTGAACTGTGGAGTCCCAGAGTCCAGAGTCCGGAGTTTTGGGTTTTGGCATCGCCTGCGCTGGCAGGAAGCAATAAATTCTATGCATTGCACTCGATACAATTTGTAACTGATATGGGATGGGGATATATATATATATATAAATTGATGGGATAGATGGGATAGCTGGGAGATGCTGGGGGATCTGGATGGACCAGATAGATGGCCGACAGATAGATGGCTCTGTGGCACAGATGCAGGAAATTCGACGGACGACTAATGAACGCGGCTAACGGTTCTGGCTAAATTGTTGGTAATTTGCCTTGGCTTGGCATCACCGATTTATGCATTTATCTCCATACAGTTATGGCACGCAACTTTTAGTATATATCAGTTAGAGTATATGTATATCTCTACTCTCTTGTGAGGGAACTTTCCCTTGCTCGCTGGAGCTTGGCAGGCAGATTTGTACTCTAATTAGCCAGCTGGCTCATGAGCAGGCCTTCATCTTGGCCAACATTTCACACTCCCCTCGCTGTTGTCGTCATGCATCTGAATCCGAATCTGAGAACCCAACTCGCAGCGTTGTGAAAAGTGAAACCGAAAAAGGGAAAACTCTCAACGAGCGAAACATGAGAACCCCCTGAAGACTTTTACCCCCACAACAAATGGCAGAAGATGATGGCTAAAAACGGGGCCAGTCGAGGGCGGAGCAGGAGGAGGCTGTGTAACTCATATTGAGGTTATTAGTAACAAGGCCGCAGCACACATGGATACACTCCAAAAAAAACAAACAGAAACAGAAACAGAAACACTCGTTGCAGCGTGCACTTTGGCTCACAAAATGATAATTTATGTCGGAAATATTTGAATACAATTGGAGTCAGCACAGAGCCAGAGTCAGAGTCAGAGCCGGAGCCAGTCAGGCAGTCAAATTTTCATTTTCAATTTCCCTTTTACAGAGAACGAACAATGAGCAATCGGAAAATTCACATTTGTATATGAATGCAGCAGGCAGCAGGCAGCAGGCAGCATTTGAAATTCAATGAAAATATACACAACAACTGTAGCTGACGTTGGGGAAAATGAAAATGTGTACCAGGAAAATTATGCATTCTCGATTTTAGGTAAATATCAAACTGTTTCCATAAACATTTCCTCTTGTTTATGTTCGCCTCTGTTTATTTTTGATTCCCCAACAAAAAAATAAAACCCCAGCACAGTTATGACATCAGTGGCAAATTCTTGGGGATTCTTTAAGCCCTCCTCTTGTGATACGGAGAATGACAATCGAAAACCCATAATTAAGCGAAATTAGTGGCTTAAAACATAATAAAAACAAAGGCAAAGAAACAAAAGATTTCAACCATGAGTCAAAAAAATATATATGTATAAAAAATATAAACCAAACAAAAGCATAAATTTCGCATTCGATAAAGGCAAACACTGGGAACAGTGGAGATCAAAATAATAGTACAACTTGGCAGAGTTTATAATTGGAAAGGAGAATTTGTATCAGATATTTTTATATAGGAAATATTTAATTAAATTATTAATTATTAAATAATTTATAACAGACTCTTATGACAAATACGGGTAGTTTTAAATTTTTAAAAAATTTTAAAATGTACTAGTAATTATTTAATACCATTTATCATAATAAAAAATTGTTTAA